CCCCAAAACCCCAAAACCCCAAAACCCCAAAACCCCTAAAATAAGAAATGTTATAGAAATAAAATAAAATATGAATTCTGCTTCGGTGAAATCATCCAATTTGTCTTCTTTGAATCGGTTTGGAGTGCCGATGGGAGGAAAGAAAGCTAAGGGGTAAAACTGATTTTAGAATGGAGATAGGAGTGTTTAGAGGTGGAATTTTGGTTTAGAAATTGATTTTGATGGGAATGGTGTATTTTGAAAAGTTTTAAGAGTTGTTAAAATGGAGGTTTATATATCGAATAGATTCGGAAGAGTCCCCAGGAAAGCATTTCAACGAAAAATGTATGTAGAAAATGCTTTACTCAGAGAATCAAGGAAGATGTCACATGCTAGGAACAAATACATGTAATAACTCCCTCATTCTGTAGTACAAACATGCTAGAGAACATCTCTGTGGCAGACAAAGTTGTGCAATCAAGAAAATCCAATCAAAGCCTTAGAGCAAAAGAGCACAAACTTGGAGTCCTGACTCCTCTCGCAACAAACAGATTCGTGAATACAGACTTTTCAAATCCTGAATCTATTGATCCAAGACTAAAGACCTTATCAGCTGCCGGGTTGACGACCAGCACTGAACTTCAGTTAATAAACAAGGAGCTAGGGATCCATCACAGACAATTTTTGAGGACGGAAATGAGGGAGCCTAAGATGAAGTTAATGCATATCCAAGACCCTAATAATAAAGCTTTGAAGTCAGTCCAAAAGATTACTCAAAATCTGACGAAATTAAATGCCCACAGCCAGTCTAATTGGAGTCAAAGAGATTTGACAAAAAAGCTGTTATCAGCTCCTTCTAATATTAGTAGGAATTATGAAAAAGATGTTAATACGAGCAACAATGAGACATTGATTTTGAATGAGCTCAAACCACATATGAGATATGATGATGTTGCATCCGGCTCTCCAGTTAAACAAGATGAGAGATTATCAAGGCTTAGGAAGGAATATGGATTCATTGATAGAAATAACCCTCAAATAAAGACTCTTAATGACAAGGGGAAATCTACTAACCCTAAGGAGACATCGAAGACTGATAATATCAAGATCCTTGAATCTAACACTGCTAGGGCTTTAAATCAAGACCAGAAGATTAACTATCTAATTTTAAAAGAAAGTAAACATAAGAAGACAGATGTTCTAGGCCAGAAGTCCAAGAAACCTCCCCAAAAGCTCAACATTTTCATGACTCCTTTTAAGACGACTTATAATTGAAATTCTCAGTCTAATATCATTTGGAGTGATTTCTCAAAGCCAAAGCATTCAGAGACTAGTCAGATAAGTATGAATGGGAGATCTTCCACTATTGATCCTTTGAACCCCATGAGAGCCTTAAAAACTCCGAAGAAGTTAAATATCACAAATCCCAAAGTATTTAAGAAGATAAATGGAATCAGTGAATTTCATCAAATCACCCACTCTTTTAACTCGAATGCCAATAAGGACTACCTGAAAGCTCTAGCAGAGAGGAAACATTTCAGAAGACCCAAAGGAATGTGCTCTGAGTTTGCAAAGTTGTCCCAGTCCCAGCCAAGATAAGTAGTTGATTGATATTTGTTCGCATCAATTCTTAAGGCGGTTAATGGGGTTTTGGGGTTTTGGGGTTTTGGGGTTTTGGGG